AAAATTGTGGGTTGAGATAAAGACAGTTTAATAGGGAAAGCAAAAGCTGTACACACAGGCAAAGCAAAACAAGGAATTCATTCCCTACTTCCCATTGGCAGGCAGGTGTTCAGCCATCTCCAGGAAAGCAAGGCTGCATCACAGGTAATGGCTGCTTGGGAAGACAAACGCCATCACTCCGAACATCCCCCCTTCCTTCTTCTGCCCCCAGCTTTATATGCTGAGCATGATGTCATACAGTATGGAATATCCCTTTGGTCAGTTGGGGTCAGCTGTCCCAGCTGTGTCCCCTCCCAACTCGTTGTGCCCCCCCCAGCCTCCTCGCTGGTGGGGTGGGGTGAGAAGCAGAAAAGGCCTTGACTCTGTGTAAGCACTGCTCAGCGGGAACAAAAACATCCCTGTATTATCAACACTGTTTCCAGCACAAATCCAAAACATAGCCCTGTACTAGTTACTATGAAGAAAATTAACTCTATCCCAGCCAAAACCACCACAATTTAAAACAGACTGTAGACATCTGGGCTTTTAGAGAGGACCAGCCATTACAAAGGAAATCCTTCTACTTCAGATATAGAGTAAAAAATTTCAAACATATATAACCATTGACCTATCAGGAACTTGTCTCCATTTATCATATAACAAGTGTAGATTTAAATTAGCTCTGGATGCTACACAGACCAATATATTTCTTAAAATTTTTTCTTGAAATGGAAAGGATTGAGGAATAATACCAAACACAATGCTTCTTTCTAAGCCAGAGAAACGACGGATGCTGTCAAGAATAGCATGCTCCTCTAGCCCTCCTTCCATTTTCCTTAATGATATATTTGACTTTGACTTCCTCATTTCTGATGCTAGTATTCCATAGTATGATTTTACTTCTTCATCACTGTAGCACAGAACAGCAATATCTTTCTCGGAGTAACCGTTTTTAAGGTATGTACAACAACGTTCTGCCACATACTTTGCTATTCTATTTCTGTCTAGGTTGTGTTCTATTTCAATACAGCCTTGCACAGCATGAGCACATGTGGCTTCGCATAATAACTTTTCCAAACGTTGGTTGGGAATATTTAGGGTAGGGTTCTTTACAATCATTTCCATGTTTCCTTTTAGATAGCGATAGATACTGTTAGCATTACGAACCACTTTGGTTAGCGACTCAACAGGATCATGCCATGTTGCTTGTGGAAGACCAGTTGAGAAGCAGTGACTTGTCTGTAAGTAGTCCAAGAAAATCCAGAAAAAGCCGGGCTCAGGGAGATGTGGTGATGAAGTTAGAGTCCAGGCTTTTCTATACCAATCACCGTCCCCATCTTGGAAATTCTGTGCTTCATCAATTATTATGTGCTTGACATCATCAAAGGTTGCCTTCAAAAAGGCTGCTCTTGTCACAGCTTGGCAAATGTTTTTCTGCCTACAGAAAAGATACAAGTAGATTAAAAACAACCTCTGCATTACAAACTACTGGTTATACTTGATAGGAACAAAGTGTACGCCCATGGTATTGAAGTCATATTTGTAAGTAGATGCTCAGGATGTCGAGAAAAGAATTTGAGCCTTACTAAAAACGCATCCCAACTACATACTTCAAACACTGCAATGGTGGTGGACCAAATAGCATACCGACTATACTAATCAGTACTCAGCTATTTAAAAATGCTGGTGAAATAACAGGATGTTGAAATGAAGAATTGGAGGAAATACTTACCGCACAAAATCTCTCAGAGGCTGGTTCTCACATACATAAAGAACTTCCTCCTGTGTGCACTGCAGCATAATTCTTATTTTCTCTATGATCTTCAGGGCCACTATAGTTTTTCCTGTTCCTGGTAGACCATAAACATACAGCTTCTTAGTTTTGTGAAGATTTTCTGACAGCAGCTGGTATTGTTTGATGGTCAAGAGGTTCAAAAACTCAGAACCAACATGGTCACTTAAAAAGGACTTGAAAGTCAGCAGAGCTACTGTGAGAGCATGCAGGAGGGCCTTCAAGTTGCCACTGTTGATTAGGCTGTAGTTTTGGGGATACATTTCTTGAATATTCAGATCCCATTCTTTTCCACAGTTAATTTGGGGAGGCAAAGTCAGTAGCTTTGGTATTACACACAATTTGTGAATATAGCCCCCAGTGTTGACTAATTTCTCCTTCAGCTTCCAGGCTATGTGTCTTGAGTATTCAAACAAATCCTTTGAGATATGTTGCTTACAGATTGTATAGAGGATAGGTGGCCTAAACTTGGCTATTAGGAGAACATCACAAATTATGTCTTGGTTTTCTGGCAAGCCGACCTCAACAGCCCAGCTTCTGGAAAATATCAGAACTCCTTCAGAAAGCTGCTTCAATTGATTTTCCATTAAAATATCCAACCCTGGATGCTCTTGGATGAGATCTTTACTGAGTTTTTCTGGAGTATATATTATGCTGTGGGATCTCACTAACAAGGCAAAGCAAAAGAAATGGTTAGTGTTAGAATAAAATATGCAAATCCAGCCCTATGAAATGATTCTGTGGGAATTAATATTGGTGAAAGGCTGCAAAGACCATAGCTGCCTGAAACACTTTTTTTGCTTCTTCAAAATTTTCCTTAACCTCTCCATGTGTTTCTAGATTCTTTTGCAAAAACTACTTCCTCAGGGAACTCAATCCTCATCTGTGGCAGTGTGGCCCCCCCCAGTCAAGCAATAACCACTGGTGGGGGTCGTGGTGGCTGCATCTGGCTTAAGGTGGACTTTGGGGACACAGATGGCAACATGGTAGCTAAGGGCTGTGGGGTGTAGGAACCCAGACGTTTTGCTGGTATGCAAATATGACTGTAAGTCAATCATCTTACTCTATAAATAGTGGGTAGCCCAGGGCCCGTTGAGCTCTCCTGCACGGCAGGGCTGCATGCCAGGATCTCCGCTTGAGTAGGGACGCCTCTCAAGATTACTCCTCCAGGTTGAGAGAATCCTTATCGTGTCAGATATTCGGTAAGTGAATTGGGAACAAGCGCACTGAAACTTTGTAATCTTAGCTAAGTGATATAAAGGATTGATTGCACATATATAATCCTTTAGACATAAGTCATTGACCAAGTCCAGGACTAAGTTTGGATCCAGCCACACCTAGGCTCCTCTAAGGGAAGGAGTTTAGAATGTAAGGGGGTCCTCTCTGAACCTCATGACTCAACAGGAGGGTCTCCCTAACGGTTTTATCCGACCCTGTCCTCTATGCAGTAAATAATCAAGTGTACCTTGCCATCGAATCTTGTTAAACCACCGTCGTGTTTACCATTGAACTTTGTTAACTCACTGTCTTATATCAATAAACATATTGCTGCTTCTCTCTTACCAGTGAACTGCATCTCTCTCTCCACAACATCATCTCCTACACAGGACCAGCTGTTGCCAACCTTGCTTAGGAGACCTGCCGAGTAAACAAAGAAACAATAACGGCTTGATACAAAAGCCCCTGGACACCTGGCTGATCTTGCAATGCCACAGAAACTTTGGACTGTAACTGGCAGCGGACTCTGCACTCTGGTCCCAGCCCCAGTCACCTTCTATATTTACATTGGGCTGATTCCAAGTGACCTTCTTCTCCCATCTCCCATTTTTCACCGGATTGCGAAAAGATGTTGTCATGGCTGTGCTCGGTCCCCAGAGAAGTGTTCAGCTGTCTGAGCTCCGTCATGTACACATATCAATAGCTGGCAGAAGATCAGTCCTTGGGGAAGGAGGTCATCAGGCATTTTAATGCAATGTTGCTGTCAGATCTGCAAACTATTTCCATCTCCTTCACCTGTTTAAAGAATGTCTTCAAACTCATCTTTGACCTTGACCATACCCTTGAGATTCATGTTGTAAACCTACCAGGCAGTGAAAGCAATGTGCAGACCTACCTGGAAACAGTTGCTCACAAAGTTCATCAACACTGTCAAGGCCCCAATGTGAATAAACTGGCTTGGCAAGAGGTGGCCCGTCTGTCAGACTGAGCTCTAGCCTAAAGGTCTCAGAAAACTTTGAAAGATCTGGAAAAAAAGAAATAAAAACATGTGATACAGCATGAGCATTTGCTGTCCCTCAGTGCAAGAGCCACAAGCTGTCCTCATGCTGGTTTTAAATACTTTGCTTTTCTTTAAAATAACAAATGCAATGCATAGACAGAAACATTGCAACTCACGTGGACAGCAGCTGATTAGCAACAGAACGGGCTCAGGTCATGGACCATGGAGCTGCTCTTGGTTTCCTTATCTCATTAGCTGCTGTTTTGACCTCTAACTCTGTTAGTGATACCCCTTCCACTGCCCAAGAATTGGCCAACGAACAATCTGTCCATAGCTCTCAGCTTATTAGACTGGCAGCAGCAGTGGAGAACACCCCTAAAAAGCAGGAGGGAAAGTATAGGTTAAGCCTGAAAGCAAATGGCAATTTGCAAATGGCAATTGACACGGATTATGGCAATTATGTAAAAAGCCACGTGCACTGGGGTCTAACCTCAAAGGCGGTCAACTTGAGGCATGGAGAGCTCATACTGCAAAAGCAGGCACTAACATTGGCATTAATTAGCTACTAGTCACCACCACCTGCTGCAGCCTGAAGCAAGCATTAAGGAATGTAAGCAGCAGAAAGACAGCAGCAAGGACCTGAAGCAGTCAAACTGGTTGGTTTGGTCAGGCCCCCAAAGAACACTGAAAAGCAGGTAAGGCTATCTAAGGCAAACAACACTGCCAGGCCAGGAGCAAGAAAATAAAAGGAAATATCGAAAATGGAAAGGGATTGTCCCGGCTCTTTTGGACCTGGATCAGCAGCGGTCATCCACTCAGCCCACTCATTTGCGCTCAGTCTCCTGATGGTGCTGCCTTCCACTAGCCACGAGTCCGGGTCTTCGGAAAACGCAACGCAAGTAAATGGCTGAATCTTCACAGCGCAGACGTAGCCACAGTGATCCCCAGCCTCAGAGTATACTTTGAAGATTTTGTGTTCGTACCTTATGTTGTGTATATTTCCACCCCCGCAGAAATGGAAGAGGGTTAATTTGTTTTGAATGGAATTGATCAGGAGACTTAATTTTTCAAGGTCCTCATCATCACTGCTGAATCCCTGCACTCTGCTGTCATCATCCACACCGATCCATAAATACCCGCCACCTGTGTTTGCAAATCCAGCGATATACTGAGGTAATATCTCTTTGACACGAGTCAAAAATTTTTCAGTTGCATAGTGCTTAAATTCCGCGTCTCCTGACTCTGTGAAAGTCAATGTCTCTCCATGTTGCAGTTGGTCCCTATTAAACAACTTGGCAACAGTGTTATTTATAATATCTGTGTTTCCTTCAATATCTGTGCCTCCTCGAATAGCCCTTGTCTTCCTGATTTTAGCAGGTTGTGGGCTAAGCTCGCTCCTGGCTTCATTTTGCTTTTCTTTAAGGAACAAAAAAGCTTGGGAAGGCTTCATGCAGGAAAGAGAAGAACCAGATTTTGCATACAATCCTGTACTCAGGCTACAGATACGTGGCTTTGCACTTGTACAGGTTAAGGATGTGTTCCCACTGCTCCAGGTTTTAATAAAAATCAAAAGGTAATTATCTTGCTGTTCAATGTCCAGGTATTTTTTCCAGTCTGGAAACAAAACAAGAGACTGAAAAGTCTCTTCTAAATCTTGTCCGATGTTATCTCTCTCTAAGTTGTAGTTTTCATTTTCAATCTCTGCTTTGACGACACCTCCTCCAGAGTTCAGCAAGGCACACACTGCACAGGCAAGGGTGTATTTTTGATCTTGTTTTGAATTTTTTGGCATCTTTTTTCTTGCTTTTTCACCAAAACGTATTTTTCCAACACACAAAACTACTTCAGGATACTTTGTTGCTAAATTAACCCAGACCTTCTGCTGTTCTTGACCGTCTTCAAGAGCCATTCTGGGCCTGAAACAATTGTAAAAAAATTGCTTACTATTTATGCTAAAACATAATCTTCCAAGGATTTCCAAAACCATTAGCTAAACAGTGGCCATCCTTTGAACAATAAATACACCGAATCACAGAGATGAGAGCAACAGGAATTTTCCTCCACTTCCAAAATAGAGTGCTTGCTTAAAACCCAGATTTGTTCCCAGTGCCCAGGTGTGTATTTTTGTGTTCTTAAGCATGAGGGGATGTAGGGACCTTGCTGCCATCTGTCCCTTCGAACACAGAAGCAGCCTCAAATAGTTTCTCTACAGCCAGGCTCGTTACTCCCTTCAACACCATCCCCTTACATATTCCTAGACTGCATGCGCCCTCCTCCTCCCCTGTAATGACTCAGAAAAGGCTGTGCTAAGCCTCACCTCGATCTCAAGAATCCAGTAATCTTATCGATTAATAATCCATAAATAATAACAACTGACCCTTCTATATTCAGCTCTATCTGGCCGCCCTTGCTAGTAAGGCGGCTGAATCTTGGCTGATTGCCACTTGGCACTCAGACTGCAGGCAAATCCGTTGAAATGGCGGCAAACTGCATCTGCATCACATTTAAGCCAGTTCCTTAAAATGAAATCCAGCCCCCTTGCTACAAAACACATCTGTGGTACAAAAGCACCTGGAAATAAATGAAAGCGTGTCTAGAAGAGATCTCGCCTGTGACAGGAGCACAGCTTATTTCCAGGAGCACAGATTTGCCTTCCGTGTGGCCAAATATTAAGCCAGAGAGCTGCAGGGCACAAAAACTCCGACATGCATCTCCTCCAGATCCGATAGAGGAGACAAGTTTCCTGCCTTGTCTGCCTCTCCTCTGAGTTAGGTCTGCTGAGGAACATCACTCTGCTCCTTGTAGCTTTGAGTTATGGTACAACTAAAGCAGCAAGGATGTTATAGCGGGCTAATTTTTGCTACCAGGTAGAGGAATTTTCCCATCCAGTTCCAAGAGCCCCCATCTAACTTGCTGCAACAGGACAACCTGGCTGACTGCTGAGATCTCAGACTCCCCCGGTGTGACAGAGAAAAGGACTTACCCACCTCTTCTTCTTAGCTCTGGGCTAAAACGTCAATATTTGAAATATCAATTTTAAATCCTTAAATAGTCAAGTCCCAGAACGATGCACAGCAGAAATGGGGTACAAAGCATCTGGAGCGTGTTACCTGTTTTCTCCTCTGCCCCCTCCCTCTACTGAAATCTAGGAGAAACAAACTTTGTTGCCGGTTTCACTTCTCAGCTGGTTTTGTTTTCTTCTCCTCTGTGGTTCCTGTGATGAAGCACCAGTGTCCACAGACTTCACTAGATCTTTCTAGCTCTATCTGAAGTTCAAAACCGGTTTTTGCTGGGAGCCCAGCCCTCTGGAGCTATTACTCCCCTCCCCCTGGCACTTTTCCAGTGGCCAAAGCCTATCAGAGGAAAGAGACAATTTAAAAAGTTAGTTTAGAAGAAATCCCCCAAGTTACAGCATTTACATACATCACTGCTTGTTCAGTCTGAAAAGTTGGTGTTCCATTAAGCTCCATTAAAGAGCTGCAAAGTCAGAGATACAGTTCTGGAAGCTGGGAAGCAGGATAGCAAACTAGAAAGTCCTGTGCAGAAGATATGGTCTGCGTATCTTCATTTGCAACATTTGCAATATGAGATTCAACTTTCTTACCTTTCTGTATTGACAAAGCACACTAAAGCTGATAATTTTATACTGAAATCATGCCCATATGCAACTTTCAACTGAAATAATTAAAGTTATGGGTTAAAACTGTCTCATAACTTTTCCCTGTGAAACTGATCCATGCAGGGGGCCACTTTGAAGCCTCCCTCCTTCGGGCAAAATTCCGGCAAAGGCACTGAGATTGGGGCAATACTGAGAGGACTGAGAACAGGGAAGGTTGTGGGCTTGACTGCAAAGCCTTGAGAAGCCTCAGGCAGCGGTGGATGAGTGTATTTTTTTGAGGGGAGATGAGAGAAAATGAAATAGTGTGGAAAAAGAGCAAGCTAGCGCTAGACTGCGGAAACTTGCCTGCAGAACAGGAAGGAAATAGAAACATATTCTGTTTGTGGGCAGGATTACAGCTTCATGTACAAAGTAAAAATGCTTTTTAGTCTTTGATTTCATACTGTGTAAAAGAGAGTCTCCTGCTCAACCCCCTTTGCAGGAGCTGGTGTAATACCCCCCTTCCTTGCTTTGCCCCTTGTCTTCTCCTTTCGCTTCATCTCCCTCTAGACTCCATTCTTATGTCCCGGGCTCCTCTTCATTCATTACAAAGTACAGTTTTTCCCAGTTGAATTTTTCACGGTGCCCACCACCAGTTACTGAAGACTCCCCTACCTTCCTTGCAGATTTCTCCTCTGTAGGCTGCGCAGTCAGAATGAAACCCACAGGTGCATGGGTGGGTTAAAAAGCTTTTATTTCTTGAACTCCAACTCTCCCTACGTACTTACTATGTCATGGGGCTGTCTTTGCCCCTCAGATTGGATCCTCCTCTTGATCCTGCACAGAAAGGCCCCCGGCAGGGTCAGAAACCCCCTCCCCAGGAAAACCACGCAAAATACACCTCCCCAACAGGAATGTGTGTCACACAAGGATTTCTTGCAAACTGCTGCCATCAGGAGGAACCCAGTTACTGCTTTAAAACAACAGGATGAATTTATCCCTCTAGCCTTAAGCAAGCGTTTCAACTTCTATATTAAATCATGATACTTTTCCTTCCAAAGCACCTTCTGTTCAATTGTTGGAATAGTTTTATTTCTTACGCTTTTTGTTCGTTTTATTTCTTCCCTCTTTGTTTTTTCTTAATTGTTTTCACGGTGATACCCCACTCATCACGCTGCCCCTTGTCGTGGAGCCGTTGCTACACAACATGGAGCCAGGAGACCCGGGCCCTCAGGACTTCACGGCGTTTGAGGCAGTGACTTATCACCGCCTTCTGCCTCGGCTCAGCAAATCGTGTCGCTGAGGAAACGGAAGAGAGCAAGCGAAACGGCTC